AGCTCCCGTTTCCTGCCGAACTGACTGACACTTGACTGGCTCACGCCATTTGAAGTTGTGAACACGGACGTCATTGCGCTGTAGCTACATGTTGTTGAATACACCGGCACATCGATCGATCGATTTCTGTTTGAGAATTATTTTAGTAACAGAAGATCGCCAATTTATTTGAATTTAGGAGTCAACACCGTCTTCTATCAGCTTTCACAGGCGTCTGCTTTTCTCAAAATGTCGTCGAAGTCACACGGATAGCCCTGCCACTTCAAGGCCTTGGGAATGAGTCTGTGTCAATGCCGTTTTCGTCACATCGTGAGAGTAAATTGCATCCGTTGCTCAAAGAATCTATTTGGTCACAAAACGGACGCAACCCGCTCGTCAAAATTTACCACACTTTCGACATGTCCTCTGACTCCATATGTAACAGTCCAACTAACTTCAGTAGTCATTCTTGGAATAAGCAATGATCCTTGCCATAATGCATTCTTATATACATGAACAAGCAATGATGGACATAACACCTAACAGCAGCAGCGTGATAATAGCAGGTGATAAGTGTATCCTATTCCTAGTGTTAGTAGTAACAGTGAATCTGTTACACCATTCCCCCCTCTGAACTGTCAGAACAGTACCAATTCGAAGGAACAGTTATGGTAACTAATGATCATGCATGGATATGTGGAATGCATGGTAGCCGAAAGCAACACTGATGAACTCAAGATCCAGTGCATGTCCTCTTCAAATAACGCCTGGCTGGCAGGGAAGCACTATCCTAATCATGCAGAATGCTACATTTCTATTGCAACACGTAGAAACTAGCAATACAACTGTGGCTGACAATTAAATAGCAATTTTATGAAAAACGGTCCAGGTAGGTTTTCAGCGGAATAATAGCGTTTCCTGCTTCATCCATCAAGTATTCCTCCGGCTCCCAGGTGGCATCTCGGTAGCCCTTCCATTTCACTAGGTACTGCGTGCGCCGTCCTGTCTTCTTGTGCGACAACACCTTTTCGACAATGTACCGCGTATGGCCATCCGCATCGGTTAGGGGTGGAGGTGCCGGCTGAGTACGGCCCGGTATCTCATTGCCATGGTACAGCTTGAGGGCAGCAATATTGAACACTGGATGGGCCCGAATGATTCTTGGAAGAGCTAATCTGTACGCATTCGGGGCCACTTTCTTCTGCACCTTGAACGGCCCATACCACTCGAGCCTTAATTTGTGTGAAGGCCTGTCTCGTTCCTCGGGCGTCAGCAGGAAGTCCCTGAAGACCAACACCTCATCCCCCTCCTTCAAGGCGTCCTCCACCCGTCCTCGATCCGCATACAATGATTGCCGGGCCTGCGCCGCCACGATGGCATCCTGTGCCTCACGTAGTGCCTCTACGCGGCCATCCAGCCATGACAGCGGACCATTCGTGTCCATGCCAGCTCCAGCTTTCTGCTTCGTCAATAAGCTCGAGGGAGTAACTGGATGGCATCCATGGTTGAGGAAAAATGGCGTGTTACCTGTTGACGCTTGATCGGCATTGTTGATCGCAAACTCACATAGCGATAGGAGTTCATCCCAATTGTTTTGCCTATGGTTGACGAAAGCTCTTAGCGTATCCTCAATGACACGGTTCACACGCTCAGTCATGCCATCGGTCTGCGGGTGGTTGCCCGTGCTCAATTTTAGCTCCACGCCAAGAATACTGAAAACCTCCTTGAAGAACGCCAACGTGAATCGCGGATCTCGATCACAAACTATCGTTTTGCTCAAGCCATGGGCAGCAAACACATGATCCACGTACAATCGGGCTGCCTCCTTAGAGTCAACATGAACAGTCGTCGGGATCAGGTGCACATACTTCGTCAGACGGTCCACAAAGGTTAGAATGGCGCTATGTCCTCGGCAGGTCAGCGCAGTGCCATGATGAAATCCATGCTGATGTCTGTCCAGGGCTGTTCGGGGACTGGAAGGGACTGCAACAGTCCTGCCTTGGTCTGGCTACCCTTTACGCGTTGGCACCGGTCGCAAGATTTAACGAAGTCCTTCACAGTACTTCTCATGCCTGGCCAATAGAAGTATCTGCTCAGCTTCAGGTAGGTCCTGTCTCTCCCCGGATGGCCGGCCGTCAGGCAATCATGATTCTGTTTGAGCAGTTGCAGCCGTACCGGACCGCGAGGAATGCAGAGGCGAGCATCGCCCGATGTTACTAGGTACAGCCTCCGGTCCACACTGTTCCAGACCATCAAGCGCTTGATTACTGGCGAAAGCTCTGGGTCACTATCATACCCTGCTGAGATCTGATTCGCAATTCCTTGATTCACATCCAGAGAGAACTCGATTCCATTCAGTTCCAAGTCTGGTCGACGTGACAACGGGTCTGCTATGTTACACTTCCCTGGCTTGTGATGTACCGTGTAGTCATAGTCGGCCAGGAATTCAATCCATCGAGCCTCTCTCTTGGTTAAGTTTGGTTTGGTCCTGAGGTAGACAACTCCCATGTTGTCGGTGTAGAGTTGAAAGTGGCGAAATAGGTAGACTCGCCAGCACTGCAGGGCGTACACTACAGCCAAAGTTTCTCGCTCGGCGGCCGTGTAATTCCGTTCGGCAGAAGACAGCATGCGTAAGCTCGCGCCTGAGTACTCATCTGAGCGAGAGTGAATCTGACGCGAGCAGCGCTGAGATGAACAAACCGAAACTGCGATATCGTGCAATGGGAATTGCTGCTGCTGGCGTATCGCCGATGGCGAGGTGTTGGTGTTCAATGGCGGTATTGTAGAGAGCCTACATTTCTTGTAAAGACGTAGCCCTTACCTGATTGTTTATCGTACGACTTCAGCTCCATCACGAACTTAGTATGCCCTACGTGCTGTGATATTCGTGTATTTCATTCGCAATTGTATTTTCTCTCAACTTGAAGGGCTACCATGGGCCCTATCCTTCCCTGGACCTAGTCATATTTGAATTTTCTGGACGCGTTCAGGCACTCAGATTTTGAAAATATATGGTTTACCCATACCTACATCACAAGGTTCTTGAGTTATTGCTGGTTGTGTGTACATGTATTTGCGTGACCACCCCTCACGTACATTGAGTTAGACCGGCAAAGGGTTAACTCGCAAAACATTCGCGCGATATATCGCAGTGCATAGACCAGTGTACAAACTTTCGTAACTTCGTCAAACATAAACGCATCGCGATAATCAATACACCGTTGGAAGGGTCTTGACCACATCTTTGCGGCGATATAACGTTCTTCACGTATGGAATCGAGCATGAGTACGAGGACGAAAGTGCGCAATCGGAGCCCGACGCGCGCTAGCGCGGAGGGCTCCGATTCTAGCACTTGAGTCCGAGTACGAATGCTTTGATACCATTTCTGACATGCATTGCACGAACTACTTCGTACTACTAGTACTTCTACATGTAGGCCTGCCCTTCCCTGCCGCGGGCATTCACGTAGAGAAGAGCCAGAGCATCGCTTATAACTCCAGGAGAGTCTGTTTTGAGGTTGACAGCCAACTTCCTCTGCTTACAAAATTCTTCGAACACTTTCACCCAGCCTTCGGTTGTGCGCTTTGTACTTATCGGCACACGACTCTCGATGATATTCGCCACATCCTGAAGGGTACTTTCAGCGAAACGAGCTTTTTTGGCTGGCGGCTCACTGCCCAAAGCAATGTCCGCAACCTCCTCCTCCTCCTCCTCCAGGTCCAACGCGAAATTTTGAATCACTGACATGTCCTGTTATTCTTCACAACCACCACTTATTCACTTTCAACATCAAACTAACAAAGCACTTGTAGCAAGTCCCTGCACATCTGCATTCTTCAACCATAATGCACTATGCACTTAGTCTTTCATACCGGCGCTCCACTCCCGCCTAAAAAACTCCCGCCTAAAAAAAAAAAAAAAAAAAAAAAAAAAAAGCGGCCTCTGATAGCTGAATCGGAGCACGCCTAGGCGTGCTCCGATTCAATCGGAGCACGCCTGGGCGTGCTCCGATTGGAAAATCGGAGACCTGCAAGCGCTCACAGGTCTTCAGTGGCTGATTCAAAGCACGGCAAGTCGCGCTAGGATTCGCTGTTGCCATGTCGATTGTCATGTGACATGTCAGAAGATAGGATAAGAATGGGGCTGTTAAGTGTGACGTCACGGCTCCTTCGATACGCATAGCAACGGAGAGCACTGGGGACAAACAAAAGTCGCGTCCTCTGGATGGAACCAGATGTCAAGGGCAACAGCATCTAAATGACTGGAGAGACAGTTGTTTTTCTTTGCTTTTTCTTCAAGCGATTGTTGTCGCTCTTTACTCCTTGTTCTTTCCTCTACAAAACTCCTGTAGTCGTCGAGTGCCTTCATGATGGCTGTGAAATTGGCTGCCCACAGTAAAACTCCGTGTTTGAGAGTGCTTTGAAGATGTTTCGCGTCCTGATGGATCAAAGTATGAGCGCTCCTTGTGGATTCGATTATATATAGGTGAGTTGTTCAAGAAATCAGTGTCTTCTTTCTGTCTCTGCCCTCACGCTGGCACAATATCAGCCTCTATATCCATGACAGCTCGTACCTCCCGTAAACTGCATGACTTAGATATATTTTCGCCCTCCGTGGTGATTGAAGACCCATGGAAGAATTTATTATGTTCAGAATGATGTCCTAAGAATATAAAATAAAATCATTCTAGGGAATTGTCATAGGGTATTTTTGGATGGATGGAGACAGAGAGAGAGAGAGAGAGCACTGTTTGAAGTGTTTGTCTCACTGTAATTACTCCAGATTATTGAATGTTGTATGATCTACTCTATATTTTCCATAATGGTTTTTCCTGATTTGCGGGATCTCTTTTTTTGCTGTTTGCGTGTTTACAGGAAGTGGCTGTCTGGTGTAACTGCACCAGATCCCGGGGAAATTAAGTCAGATGCAGAGGCAGGGTCGTCCAGTGATGCAACACTGCCGTTCTGTGAGCAACGTTCCCGCTAATACCCCCGGCGAAAACACAAAAAAGACAAACACGTGAAAAGACTACAGTATTGACCGTTCTGCTAATAAATGCATGACTGCTCCGACAGTCGATAATCGAAACACAGAGCACCAGCATGATGTTTTCATATTGGGAACCACACAACAGCTCAATTCTCAAGCCCAAAAATTGATGAATACAAATACAGAGCGACGCAACAAGAGGTCATCCGGCAACCAAACAAACCTGGGTCTTATGCACTGAATAGTCCTGAAATACGCAGGCCAGACAAAGCAGTGCAAGCACATAATGTTACAAGGTACATGCATTGCAGAACAAAGTGTAACCAAAGATACACAGGGTTATAGCTGCACACTTGTGCATGTGCTCGCTCAGCCCAAGAACACACGATCATGATGGTAGAAACAATCCGGGGGAAACACGCTAACACCGAAGTAAGCATCAACACGTAAATAGTGCAGCTCTGAAAAAATTACATTGACATGAACATTGGTGTGTCGAGTAGTATCAGGCTTGAATAATCATCCAACCAAGACTTCATCAGGTCCCAGACGCTGAGATCGCACGCCGAATGTGAAGTGCATCTAGCCTTGAACCTGTCGCACAAGGCACACATATATGGTAAAATGACATCCACTCTGATTATTTCCAGAGGCCAATCATGACAGAACACAGAAATGAAACCACGGGCTCAACCAAGTAAACGCAAAGGAAGTTAGTCAAAATAATCCATGCAGTGCTCTTTTAATTGCAGCGCTGATTGCAGTGTTGCGTCATAGCCCGATACCCGCTGAGCACAGACACAACTCCATTCGTCAGGGGCAAGACATACTCTTTTGGAATAAAGTCATAAAGTACAGCGTTCCAATGACATTAGGCCACACGTTTTTATTTCTATGTTTCTCGTCACCCGCCCGCATACGATTCAGGAGTCTGGAAGAAAAAAAGAAAAAAACTGTGCTGCACTGACTGTGCATGTGGGGACCAGCGCACTCATGCACATGTACATAATGTGGCCTGGCCTGCGCGACACATGATGCAAGGATGGCATTTTTTGTGCGCAATCTAGCTGCACATGCTCAGATTGTGACAGAAGCTCCTACCACATACTATTTATTTGCTAACTATGGATGCTATTTTGCATGGTGTATTGGTGGATTTTAGTGTGAACACAGGTCTAATAACCTTTTTTTTATTTTTCGGTCATTTTTATTTTTTCCACCTCTCGCATACGTTTTTAGATTTTCAGGTGACGAGAAACATAGAAATTAAAACGTGTGGCCTTACGGACACCTCGTGTAAATGCATGGTCTGTTCATCTGGCCGACTCGGCCACGCATGAGAGTGTGTGCATGTACATGCGCGCGCTTGCGCGCGCACACACACACCATGTATTCGGTGCGTATGGTGTACCAGTTGCGGGACAATGAAGATGGAATCATTATCATGATGTTACATGTACATCTACAGTGTATGTTTGAGTGTAAAGTAAATTTTATTTTATTGCACATTTCTTCGACACAACTAATTACTTACTTCACATGTTCGCATTTCTCATAATCGATCCACCTGCACTCCATATCAGTCGAGGAAAAATTCTCCCAGATATACACTAGTCACCACAGCCATGTGATGACATTGGGATGGGCCCCAAGCAGTGCACGATTGCACTCTCTAGTTACAATAAATTTGGCCAGATTATCTGTGAAGACAAAATGCAATGCATAGCGCCAATCGATGGATGAAGAGAGAGTTTGTAAATACCCATATCTTTCCACTTGTTCAGGAGCTTACCTTTTGGAGTTCACATCGTTTACACGATCTCTCATGCTGTCTTGCACCTTGGTTTTGTTGACCATGGATACGCCAACCCAGAAAACATTCTACAGGAGCTACTAATGCAGAGCGTTTTTCACGCTCGATCTCGGCGATCTACCTTGTCACGCCAATAAAATCCTCCATGACACTGGCTACAGTCACAAGAGACGTCTCAGTAAGGTAATGAGCACGACAACATCGTCGAGATCAAGGACAAAGAGAAAACAAAACACTCACTGAAAACAGCAAAGAAGAAACGAAGAAATGTACACGATTCCTATATGTTGCCACTGACAACTGGTTCGGTGGAGACGACGCTACTTTTGTTTGTCCCCAGTGGGATCGTTGTTATGCGTATCGAAGGAACTGTGACGTCATCACTTAACAGCCCCATTCA